CCTTGAACTTGAATGAGTGAAACTGTAGGCTGTATAACAGGTCGCTGCAAAGAGGAGGAGTGTGCAACTGTCTTCAATTAAAATCTTGAAATTAAAATTGAACTTAAAATTGGAAGGAAAGGATTCCCGGGTGAAACAGTTACAGTTTGACTCTGCAGTACATTTCAGAAGGAACTTCAGTGAACTCTGCAGTAAACTTCACGTGTGCAGGGTGAGACAATTCAAGCGGAATTTCGAGCAGGGGAATTCAGTAGAGTAAATTCAGAAAAACTTCAGGAAGCTTACCCCTGCGATGAGGAGTGGAAAGGTTCTTGCAGTAACGGCGCCCCGCAGGGATCACACAGCTTACCACAGTGGGAAGAAGCTGCGAAGACACACTTGAGTAGGTTGCTCCGTGGAGCGCGATTTCAGGCTGCTTCGCGGTGAGCATTAGCCCTTTAAGATTACTGCAGATTAGACCTTGACTGAAAAAAATGCTGGGTCCGAGTAACAGTATTGTTGAACAAGAATGCAAGTGAAACGATTGAAACAATTCTAAAATGGCAGGTACGTTTTCAGCACCACACCACCAGGCTCTTCGTTGGCCACTCCCTGGTGGTGGGTGGAGTGGCCCCCTGCTGCTGCACATTGGTCACAAAAGTCATAGGGCAGGTTAGAAAGAGTTAGGGTAGTGTCCTTGGAAACAGGAGTGGACACACACACACACACATATTACCGCACACCAGCCCAGCCTTGAACCAAGGATTATAAGACAGTAAACAAAGCATTCATGCCAAATGTCCAAATGATCTCTGCTCTACAAATAGCCTGCAACACACCGTAAGTTGGTCAGACCTGGGAATACAGTAATGTGCAAACATAACGACTAGCCAGAGTGCTTTTGGACCCAGGCTGATGAGATCACTTCACCCTAGATCAACCTTCGAATCGCATGGTGAATGGTTGTTGCGCGTTTGCAAACAGTCGGTGGCAAAATACTCTGGCGTCGACTACCCTTCAACTACTCCAAACCTTAGGGTCTAGCAGTATCCAGTAGGTTATGGTTTCTCTTGAGTATTGTTAGTGTTTGTCAGTCTATCCGCTGGTACTGCGTCCGGTTTCGCTCCAAGCCGCAGTGAGCACAATGGCGACAACCATGGCACCGCCATCGCAAAAATCACCTTAGTCGGCACTCCGCACGAGAGGGCACCGCAAGAGAGAGTGCCTCTATTGCTGAGGCATTTCCCACACATTATTTAGGTTAAAATATGTCACAACAGCTTAAAGATCGTGCGGGTGAGGTATTGCAGGACTCACTAGCGCAATCTTATCCTGGATACAAATAAAGAAAGTATAAGAAAGTACGGATTCCCCCATCCTTCCAATTCAAGTGATAATTTTAAGGATTGTCCATGATTGTCCATCCAAGTGAAGTGTAAATATACTTTGATGGACCAACAAGGGGGCACCCTAGGACAAAACAACCTCCCAAAAGTGGTACCGTGATGCACCGTGCAGTGTAGCAGAAGTCCAGAAGTTCCGCATCCTAAACATTCGTGCAATTAGATTAGTTTCACCATGGTTCACCTACCTATCAACATTCACATGCTTATCTATGCTTATCTTGCTTGTATTGCTTGTCCATACCTCATCTGCACCCTTGGGATTGCAACTGCCACCATATGCCATCTTCCACCCAAAGGATTTGATGTCTATCAGACGTACACACACATGCAGATCTTGCAGTAATAGTGCCATTTCTATCCATTTCTCCGAACTCTTCGTGAAAAAAGCGGCTAGCAGCGGATACAGTGTGCCCACCACCGTGTTTCCAGAACCGTGCCAGCACTGCAGAAAAGATCTCCTCACCACGAAACCGCGACATGAACCCATATGTACACAACATGACGAGATGATACGCTACGATGTGCTTTCTTTCCGAAAAACGCCTTCGTGGTCTCTTCTCATTCCCCCAGGTCTACTCGGTCGTCTCTCCGCACGTCTGGGGGAGCCCAGCAGTCGCCCAGAAATCCGCCATAGCAAGGCGTGGACTTCCTCGGATCGGAGGGCGGGCGACCGGAGTCCCGTCGGCGGTCGTCGTCGGCGGTGGCGACCGGTGGAGGTCCGCCGACTGTACGCCTTGGTAGCCTTGGTACGCCCCTGCTTGATACGCCCCTGGTGTGTTTTTTAAAGCACCTCTCTCTCTCCCTCTTTCTCTCTCTCTCACTCTGTCTTGGACAATATAAATTCGGCTGAAGACATTGGATACTTTTTTGTTCTTTTTCCACTGCACCATTGGGGTGGAACCGATTCATTATGATTCATTGGGTCTATCCTATTACCTGTAACGGTGGATGATGATGGTTAGTAAAGGCCGGCCTTGCTCAAAAATAGTGATAATTGTTTACTGACTGTCTGTTAAAGGTATTAGGACAAACCCAAATGATTCATTTATGCTGCATCCGATCAGCTCACCAAAAAAGAACAGCAGGGCCCCAGGTGCTCAAAAAAAAACAGCGCTGGGTGCAGTGCCAAGATGCATGCTGGCTGTCGCTCGTGCGCCTTCTTGTGCTGCAGTGGCAATGGCATCCCAGGGCACGTGGACGTCCTGGTTCGAATGGCCGCCACGTTGCCACTGAAACCGGACAATTCCGAGGCCTCTCAAATTCCTTCTCAAAATGCTCAAGTGCAACAAGAAGAACACACCAAGCAAGTAATCAAACATGGTGGTGGATGGTGGATAAAGTCAGGAAATCATCCCCTTCCCCCATAATAACCCTTGAAAAGCCACCCGCCTTATTTTTTTGTGTGTAGGGGAAGAGTGTTGGCGGCATTCTCACCCAGCATCGACAAGACCTTCTCAAGATCATATCGTGAATCCCAGCGATACAAGGATACTTTCATGAATGAATGGTGCTTCTCCTCAGTTTGGAGCTTATTTCTAACATGTTCAGGCCACATACCTTGCAACAACATCTTATTTGGGGATATGAACAGGTTCGCTTTGGAGGGTCTGGACCCTCCCTTTGCGGATGTCGGATCCGTAGGACCGCTCATCATACTCAGTACCGCTCAACGCTCGCCCGTGAAAAACGTTCGATCAAAGAGTTGCTCCTCCTGGTCTCCCATGTCTATCTCGTCGTCCTCCTGGCGAAAATGGCGCAACCCGGGCCAGCCCTGCTGTGTTCTGGTGATCCCGCTGCAAGCAGCGAAAAGTGGCAGTCACCAACACCGAGTAAGCTACTATATAGAGCCCACGGTAGGCAAAGAGAGTCTTCTTGGTCAGTAGAGTTGCGCCACTGCAAGCCGTTAACTCTGGTGGAGTGCTCTCACCGCCCATGTCAGGGCTGCATGCAACTACTGCCGCTTCGTTGGATATAATACGTAAAGTATCTATCTATATGTCTAGCTAGTATACATAGAGCCAATGTCTGCTGCAAAGGCTACCCCCAGTATGTCCTGCTCGCTGCCGATGCTGCTTTGTCGACCTCGGGAAAGCCAACCGGGAAAGGGCTCTTGAGACCGTCTTCCGGTGCCTAGTCATGGAAACACATGCCATTCCACGTCCTTGTTAATGGCCATGTTTGGGCAAGTGCCTCAAATACATGTATCTTTGTGTTGCTTGATGCCACTCGGACGTTGAAGCTCGCTCACAGTCACGAAACCACCTATAGATCACCCAACTAGCAATGCGTCGGAGTAATTAACCTGGAGGGCACGTCCGAAGGCGAAACCCAACTGACAAGAAAAAAGGTTACCCAACTGACTGCGCAACCCATGCGCCGCCTGATGCCCATGACGCCCAGTTGCCCCAAGCAAGTAAATGGCTCAATTCCAGATCATCTTCATCGTCATACAGTGGAAGACACAGCTCCCCTGGAGACAAGGAGAGACGATAAAAAAAAATATATATATATATACAGGAAGAGTCTGGCTTGCGGCTTGCACAAGTTTCAGCATGCCCAGTGTTAGCACCCTTGTCCCACAAGCTGGTGATACCAGCCCCCCCTCAGGGAGAACTGAGAACCCTCTTGCTTCGCTATCTGGGGGACATGTAAGCACACGGACACACACACACGCTTGCCTCCCACACTACTCCAGACTCCAGGATGATGCAAATAGTGGCCAAATACAACTATAGCACTCCTGGTTTAGATACCAATAACGATTGCTATACACATCGAATCTACAAATGCACAAAGGGATGTGCATGTGTGCGTGTCCGCAAATGTTTACGGGTACCCTTCATAGTATCTCCTGCTGGCTGGTCTTCTCTAACTCAAAGGTTCTAAACTACCAGAGATGCCGGGGTATTTCATCTGGGGGCCCAATTGGCCTACTAGTGTCTATGTGTGTAAGAATTCAAAGACAATGGAGCAAAAAGAACCTCTCGGAAAAGTAGGAAGAAAAAAACGACCGAACAATACTAAACCCATCGAACCAGGGGGCATTCTAATAAACATCCATCGACTCCGCTTTTGCCATCGACTCCGACTCCAACCTTCTTGATCCTCCGTCTTTGGGTGGATGTTCTTTCCAGCGGCACGAAGAGCTGGAAGCAAAGAATCCAAGAAAGTGCCTGAGATGACGCTTCTGGCGCTTGGTGTTTTGAAATTGCTTTTGGAGGACTGACTGGCGTCCTTGATTCAAATGATAAATTATTGGAAGAAAGACATTACAGGGCAAGTATTCTATCACTTTCTATCATATCAAAACGACTCTTGGCTATCTCCTTGAAAGGGCTCTTCTATAGGCCGGGGCATGACCTGCATACAAAGAGGCCTGGGGTCAAAACCAAAGTGTTTGAGGTTCCACATTGGGGTCCTTGGAGCGTTGGCGGCGTCTGGTTGTTCAGTCATGGTGGGCCTGAAAAATGACTGAATGACCTCTCTGCGGGGCGTCCAGCGCCAGCCATGCACTTTCCCGCATTGGAAAACGACCAAGACACGGGACACAGTCTTCTCCGTTTGTCTTCTTCCGATGTGATGAGTCGAAACAGCGAAACAGTAAGGCTATATGTATATATATATAGATCCCAAACATGTATGCCATGTATGCCTACATTGACCCCCAAAACCACCCTAATGTAGGCATATATATATATATGGCATACATGGAGTGTCTGGGTATATATATATATATAATTATTAGGACCAGGGACGTGAACGTGAGTCAATACCTCATGCATTTCTCGCATGCATCAACAGGATGTGCGCGCGTGTTTGCTCAAAGTGTCTTGCTAACCCTTCCAGACCAACCGTGAACCACTCCCAAGAATTGCTCTCAACATCTTTCAACCAGGAAAGTCATTGTTGCCCCTCGTGGCTTCTTGCAAATGTACGCAAAATCTACCCTCCACACCATAAATTGAAAGATCATTTGAAGCCAATTCTGTGCCCTCCTAGGTCGTCCAACTCTCCAAAGGGGCAGGACCAACCAATCCCCATTTGGGCCACTTTTGAGGTCCAATGTAACATTCCTGGAGCATTTCAGAGCAAATCTCCATGGACACGCTGTGTGCACCCAGCTGCGCTGCCCTTCTGAGGATTCGGCCACCGCTTCCACCTGAGCTTTCGAAGCGGGTGGAATAGCATGGTGAGTGGATCTCTCAGGCCCCTGCCGTGAAGAAATTGTATCATTGACTTGGTGAAACTCATCCGAATCCATTCACATGTCAAACTCCCGACTGCCCATCAAAGCCCCATTTCCGCAGTGGGCCGTTCCACCTGCAAAAACCAGGCGCGCGCCTCCTGCTCCCCCGCGCAGAACGCACAGTAGACGTCGGATGCAATCCAGGGGAGGTGGAAAGCGCGTTTCCGGCTCCTGGGGACATTCACCATGACGGTCAACATCAACCTCCATACAATTAAATAACAAAACATTCGTGCAGAACAATGACAAAATTCAGCGTAACGTCGTTCATCAAGTTCATAGTAAAAATTGTAAAAACAACAACTCTTTCAGCCAATATCCAACATGTTATCCCTGCAACCTTGTGTTTTTTTCTTTTGGTAGGGGGGGGTTGGTAGTAGTTCAACATACCCTTCTTTTAAGGTCTCTGAGCCACATAAACATCCGCAAGCAACATAAGGCGGTGACTCCAAACATGTTTTTCACTCCATTAAGAAAAAAAACACTCTGAGGAAGATACAGGTATGGGCTCTTCGCGAAAGAAGGTTACTTTTTCCCCACTCTCGGCCACCAAATGGACGTTCGGACGGGCTGGTTGGAGACCAAACTGACGAATGATGACAGTAAGCATGCATTTTGAGGAGAATCCGCATCAACATCGTCTTCTTCGATCCTTAGCAATTAAAAAAGTAACTAGATCGATAAATGAAATGTATTTGGATGTATTTTGTATTGCACGGCATAAGGAGGGAGATGTAGGGAGGTTTTTGGCTGTGGCGCGAGAAGTAAAACACAGACCATATACAAACCATCATAGTCTAAAGCAAGTTTCACCATTGCCCATAGCTGGGTGTCTTGGCTTCATGCTCCGCTTCAATGCGTTCATGTTGAGCTCTAGGGGTGCGCAGCAAAGGCTCGCAAGCTGAGTAGCTCGCGAGGTGTTTGGATGCCGAACCCTCCAACCGGTCGGGTCGCTTCGCTCCAAGGCACTTCCGGTGGCTTTTCACCTTCCGCTGTAGACGCTCCACACCCCGCTGCGTCAAATACCGCGCGGCGCGTCCAAAAAAGACCGACAAGAGCGCCTGCAGACGCGCAGCGGAGTGGACGAACGGGAGAACGGACGACTATCCGAACGGACGAGATTAATTTTACCGTTCATCCGAGCGGTCAACCATTGACATGTGATTCTTTGGTTCAAAGCCGAGATTCAGGGAACTGGTGTGCATATATATGTATATATACACACATTACATCTATGTGTGTGTCAATAAATAGTTAAAACACATGCATACTGAGTACTGCTAAATCACACTCACCCAATACACTTTAAACATGATCAAACATGCAACATGACTATCAAATGACATTATAGTCTTATATATAGCTATGTCACCGGAATGAGCCTTTCTCTAAAGAAGGGGTCCCTTACCATCTCTGACCTGCCAATGTCAGTCTATGCTCTAGTTACCACATCTATCTTAGGCGACCAGTGGTTCCAGCATGTTCAAGCAACCACCTAGACCACCGGGAAGTTGGAGTCTCTTCCAAACCCTTCAACACCAATAAGCATGTCCAAGCTGAATTATTTCGTATCCTGGCCCATTCATCTTCATACTTCACTCACCTCACAAGTTTTTCTCCTCACTTCTGGTCGAGCCACGGACAAGGTCCCATCGACTCCCCGCAGGAAGTCCGCCAGGCGGAAGAAGAGCAAGGCTGGACGGGCCTCTTGTGCCGACACGAGATGCAATCGAGGCTATATAGGTGGGGGGCCATCGGGCCTGTAGTGCCTTCTAAATTCTAAGCTCTGCGGTACCCAATCTATGTAGCTGCTGTTCTTTCTTGAATCATCTTTCATCCACATGCTACTCCGAGATACCAACTCGGTGGAATGCGAATGAAGTGCTAGTCCAAACCAAAATAAACTCATCAGATAGTCCAAACCAGACCAGCTTCCATGAGACCGGTCCGATACACGAGGCGCGCTTGAGCCGCCGTGCGGACCGTGGGACCGTGCGGACCGAGCGTCAGTAGTATGCGTCCTAGGTCATCGCTAGGAGCTTCCCCCTTTTATAAGTAGGAGAGGGCAAAGGCAAAGCGGAATCAAAACACAACTATAATATACAGTATCTTATAGTATATGTCTATAATAGCTTATAACTTATAGTTATTGCTAACGACCTTAACAACATCCTTCAATTATATACAGTAATTATGATCACCTACAGTTTTCGTCGACGCCTCAACCTCCACATCAGCCTCATGGCGATCCCAGTGCTGCCCAGTGGCCATGGGCAAAAGGCCATCGTTCAAGGATGCCATGATCAACCTTCGTCGAACAACCGATATCATTCACCAGCCGAGACGGGCCTTGGACATGGGAGTTTCTTGAATTAGAAGTGTCTGGTCGATGGTGTTCTTTTCCTTGGTCCCGGGGTCTGCAACATCTGCGGGTCATGATGACCCATATGCAAAAACAAATGTCCAAGGTGATTTGCATCATTGTACCGTATCTGAATGCAGTAGGCTGTGGACTTCTCATCAGACCATACCCAGCACCGCCACTCCCCACCCCGCGCCACCGGGGCACTGGGCAGCGCGGGCCATGTTCCGACCGAGGTCGCCATCTGCAGTGGCCGCGTCCAGCGTATTCAGCTCCTGCTCGCTGTCCAGGACTGCCTGGCACTGGATGGATTGAACCCCGTCGACCCTTTGTGGTGGCACTCTATATTTGGTTGGCCAAACCAAACTGATGGCATGGACACCAAATTTGGACAAAAAGGCGGCGAAGTTTGGGGCTGTGAGATCAATAAATCAGTCGAGTAGGCAAGTGAAAGCAAGTGGTTGTGAATTGATTGTGGTGCTTGTTTATTTGACTATTTGGTTGCTTACAGCGAGCAACTGAGTGGTGGGTCCTTCGAACAGAAGGACAAACCCATCTTTTGTTCTGCGAGGTCGTCTTTCGGAACGCGTCCCAGCTGGCCCGGGCAAAAAGAACTGAAGCCACCAGCAGGTCCCATTCCCAAGCCATGCCCCACTCAGCCACTCTACCCTCTGCTCATCCAACAAGTCATGTTGAGTCAAGAGGGCATGTTACAAATATGGGATTGTAGATACGGTTCCGACGGTTCCTATAGTAACTCCAACATTGCCTCTCAAGAAACTCCAGTTGAGATGCTGGTTCGTGAGCTGATGGAGCCCATCCCAAGTGGCCCTTTGGGGACTCACTACGTGCGCTAGTTGTGAGAAATCAGGAAGGAGCAAGGGTCCATTTTTAAATGCTTGGAGACGGAGAAACATCCGGAGGATAGTAAGCAGTTGGTCGAAAACGAAACCCACCTTCTCACGGATGGAATTATACATGAAGGCCCCAGTGCGCCAAAACTGAACACGTATCTCAATCTAAAGCCATTACTAAACTACCAACATCGTCGAGTTTGGTGTATATTTTTGCCTTTTTTGGGGGGGATTAGCTAAGTTCCTAAAACAACCCTAACTGTCCACCTCTGTCCACCATGGCACTTTCCACGGAGGTCCTGCAAAACCACATGGCACAGCAACATCACCTTTTGAAAGCTTTTGTTGCTAGTCTAATGAAGAATAACCATTTTTATAAGAAATTGTTGTAAAGAGAAAAGGAAAGACCCTTCCATCTGGAGGTATGTTTTTTATGTGTTCAAATTATGAAATTTTGATACGAATTTAATAAAGGAGTCTATACAATACAAAACTGTCCAGAGCGACAGTTCTGTTTGGTTTGCTCGACGCCCCAGGTGTCCATCTTTGCAGGTCCCATTTCGGGGACCCCCCAAACCAAACAACGCACCCGAGTTCTTTTTTAAAAAACAGTGGAAAGTACTTCATTGATCCAGATATATCAAAGTAATCCCCGTTGTTCATGCCATGGTACCGCACAGGGGCGTGTTTTTGCTCAATAGGTGGAAGGGATTAGTTGGCCACTTGGACGACACGACAAACCAAGCAAACAAACTGGCCCCAAATCACCTAGCCTGGCAGGCTCGCGTCAACATGGAGCGTACCAGGGGATGATCCTGCAGTGGCGACATGGTTCCTTTTATGGTAATAAAAGTAGCACATTAGCCTTCCAAAGAGCTGACTCGGAGAAACAGTCGTTGAACAAAAGGCTTGGCGATTCTGGAGATATAGGTTTGACCTCCAATACCTATATAACTTCACTCTGCATTATCTGCAAATGGCCGATGTAATCTTTCCCTGGGTGGCTCGCTCAGTTTCTTTCAATCCAGTCCTCTTTGCAGTGCCGATGCTGGTGCTTTTTCGCGATGTGCGGGCGTGGGTTGTATCTCCTCAACCGCGGGTGACCACACGGGAACTGGTCAAAAATGCTTGCTGCACAAGTTAAGGTTGGAGGCCATTGCTTTTAGCTTGGGGGCGCATCAACTGCATGTCTCAGGACCAGCATTTCTGCCAGTAACATTCGCTGCAGCTGAGGCTCTTGACGATGTGTGGGTTTCGCGGAATGACGGCCTCCTGGATCCGGTTCTGACTAAAGGACATCCAACAGGTCTTGTGTTGCGTCTGTTGGAGGGCCTTTTGCTGGACTCTTTAAATTATCAGGATTGCCGTCTCTCAGGGCCTCAAGTGTTTGGTGATACACTTTGGAATGATTGCAATCCTCAAGCTCTGGAGACAATGGAGCACTCAGAACACCCTTTCTACCTAGTCCAGGCAGCACTTCTAATCCCAAGCACCTTTAAAAACAAATCTGTCGGAAACACCCATTGCAGTGTGCCTTTGATTTTAGTTACCGCCTTTACTGCTTTCACATGCTTTCACCCACTACCTTTGTCTCTTCCAAGGAAGGTGCCTGTCACCTGCCCAACCTATAAATAGTTCCGGCTGAGGTGGCTTTTGTCACCTCCCTCCCTGCGCCTTCCAACCTGTGCAGCTCGTCGGTGCCAGCAGGCGCTGCGCCCGCAACGACAACGAAGGCTCGTGGATGGCCTGCGTGGATATGGATTCGATCAGTGGTTGCCGTTGGGCTGCGCAAACCAATGACCCTAAGGAGGCTGCAACAGTGTCAGTGTCTTCTCCCATGTCCGGCTTGCCGCGGTGGCCGGGGAGTTGGGCTCCATAGACCTGCTGTCTGCTGTCTAGATGGGTTTTGGCTCGCACCATAGGGTGGCTGTTTGGAGCTAGAAGCGCTTGATGGAAGGTCCCAGGACCTGGAAGTGACATGTTTCAATGTGGGCCCTTAAAGTTCTGGCCTCGGCAATAGACAAGGCCAGTGCACACGATGCCAAAAGGCTTCAACTGTTTCAACCTTCGCCTTTAGCGACCAACTCCACGTTTTGGATCGCCAACGGCCACTTCAATCCATCCAGCAGACTTCGGCTGCTCACGGCCGCCGCCGTGCGGCTCCTGACTTGGCTAAACCAAGTCAGCTGTGCCAGGGCTGTGCCTCGTCCATCTCGGAGGTCAAGTCTTCCTCGTCATTCCCTGGACGAAAGGAAATCGACCGAATTCTCAAAGTACTCCATGGGACTGGAAGATTTACCTATACATTGACCCCTCAAACCACGCCAATGTATATAGGTAAGTGTATGACATATGACATACTTGGATATATAGACTTGGAGATACTTGGAGTGTTTGGGATTGAAACATGTGCTTCTTTTCGGCGTTTGTTGTTGTTTTGTTTTCCTTTTTTGTGCGGTGGCGGGTATGGGTGACGGTGAGGTATGGGTGAGGTACTGGTGTTCTTGAGGTATGGTGAGGAAGAGGACTGGATCCTCTCACGAAACCAGTTGCCACTGCTACATGCTTTTGGGTAGACCATCTGGATCCACCTGTTCGTCATTACATTATCATACATACTTGATTGGCAAAATCCTGCACCGCTGCGTTCTGCGTGAACATTGGTACCATCAAAGATCATCATAGTGTTGCAAGAGTTCGTCAACTCTAAGAGCACTTTCATTTTTTTTGAGATTCGCTCGTTGAATCAGCCTTGGACTGTAAACTGGATGTTCTAGATGGAAAGAGAAACCATCTCGCCTCGAAGGTCGCTGTAGATCAAAGAAACATCAGGCCTGCCTTTCCCGCTTCATCACTCCAACGCCCAGCTCCGTCTCCATCAGGCCTTCTCCAACGCCCAGCTCCGTCTCCGTGAAGCTGATCATCCTCCGCTGCGCCCAGGTCTCGTGCTCGTCCGAGCGCATGGACTCCACCGCCTTCCTCGGTGGCGGCCGAAGGACGGTCGGATCGCAGGGCCCAGCGGCCCAATCATCCTAATTACATCTATGCTCTTGGGGTGATCCATAGCTTCAAAAAGAAAGGCGACCTGTCTTGGATCCTTTCGTATACTTTTCTTGTATCCTTTCGTAAACTTTCTTGTGATGTATGTGGGTATCAATGGCTGACGTCTACCAACGGATGGGTGGCATGTCTGGCAAGCCAAGCAGGCGTGGATGTCTTCCTCACCAACTCTCGACAGCCCAGTGGCGAGAGCCGTTCCTGGCGAGGACTCTTGGGTCATGCGGGCTCGGACCACAAGCCCAACAAATAGGAGACTCCAAAAAACGGGTTCAAAGGAACATCTACATCATCTACCAAAAATCAAGGTTGTCACCCCCAAATCTATGGTGTCCAGATGTTCCCTAAAAACAATTTCTCCCGGACAGCTGTTTGTCTTCCACGTCGGGATCCCCTCCCCAGCCCTCTATAGCAAACAAATTGCGTCTTAATGTCGACGCTTGATTAATAACCCCCACACGATATATATATATATATATAATCAATAGTCTATCTTATGCTTGATGCTATCTCTAACGTGACATTCGTAACTAGCGGATTGTCAGTCCGACGGCACCATCTCTTCCCGCGGCTTTTGACCCATTCATGGTGTCTATGGAACCTGGCCTCACGTCTTGGGCAGTAAAAAACCGAGTGACATGTTGGCACAAACCCTCATACAAGGACAAACCTGCAATCAATGAAGCAAAGAGACATGAGCTTTCAACCACCTATAAAGCATTACCAGTCGTCAAAATGTACACGGGAACCCCGTACCCCAATATATAAGCAGTCATCGCATGCGAACCCATGCGAACTCGCTTCCTCTTCATCTGTGATGATCTTCTTCTCGGTGTCACCCTTCATAAAGAAGGACAGCCGCTGCTGTTGTTCCTTTGGGAAATGGCGGCGGAATGATTGAAGACCAAGCAATGAAACTTCTCCAAAACTTACAGTTACGCAATTTATCATGCCCCGTTCAGGTCTACATGGGGGTTGCCCCAAGAAACGTTGATTGTGGTTTGCGCCAGTTCTGAGGGGGGGTGCATCAATTCTGAAAGGGATTGGCTTTAAACACTAAGTGAGTGGATATGAGACTTGCCACTCTCTACCAGAAACCTCCTCCAAAGACTCAAACTGGTCGTTTCGACCTCCAAACCCTAGGTTGTTGCGGAAAGACAAGGGGGGATGACGCGGGTGAGAGTTGGATTGGTACGGAGGCAGGTGGTTTTAGCCTCCCCGGTGATCATTTGTTCAGACCAATCCAGGTCTGATCCGGACGTCCTGGGCTGAACCGGACGTCGAAGCTGCATGCCCAAGTTGCTGCCTCTCGTTGGTCTCTCAGAGTCTCTTTGTCGAGGATGAATCCATCGGAGCCCTGGTGGACCAATGGAGCATGCAGGCTGGAGTGATACGCCCTGGAAGATTAACATGGAACCTGAGAAGATTGGTTTCTCCATCTTAGATGAATTACTTGATTAACTATGTATTCTCATCACCCTGACTATGGTCGTCGTGAGCATTGTGAACCCAAGCAACAAGCTTCACGAGCTAGCGATCTACACATATCCCCACGTCATTTTGCGATCTGATTTAGATTGATCTTCAAATGGGAGCCTATGATGAGCATGTATCCAGGATGCATGTTCAACTCATTTGTAAATGAAGAATCAAGCAGGGAGCTGGAGTCCCAATCAAGAGTGGCTCAACCAAATGTGTACACAGATGTACACAGAGAGTTCTGCAATTCTCAGACTGCAAAAAAAACTCCGAACAGTTTCAGTTCCCAGACTGAAAAAAGTCAGAAAACGTTCTCAGACCGGACAGGATTTTGGACCTTAACTTCTCCTTTTTCATTGTCCAAGTCCCAGGTCACGTCCACTGCGGAAGCAGCGACAAGCAGCGACCCTGGGTCATATTGCTTTGTTGATGTCCAAGTAGCAAAAGACGTTTGTGATCGTTTGTGTCATGTGTTCAAGCCGAGCACATTTTTCATCAGAGCACAACGCCCACACACACAAGCCAGTGGTTTTCAGATGTTTCCTTGATTCAGAAGGGTTATCGACCGTTTGCATTTCAATCAGCTTTTCGGTCCACACACCAAAACATTTGGTGCTAAGGCGCGCCTGCCAAGACCTTCGACGTTTCGATGGCGAAACATGCCGTGCAAAAAAGGAATCGCTCGCTCTTTTGGTGGAGTGGAACGTCTGTCGGCTGTCCGTTATTTTGTTGGGTCACGAAACTTCAGGTTGAGGTCTTTGGTCTTAAACACCCTCCAGACTCCAGACTCTAAAAAACCTTAGAACAACAACCATTGTAGTTGCACGTGATGACTGTTTTCCCCCCTATCATGTCCGGTCATGGTCATGAGTCATGATGCAAGTGTTCAACAAGAACACATATTTTTCCAGTATATAAAAGATTCACAAATGCAAGTGTAGTGGAACAAAGGGTCCCACAGGAGAAAAGTGACCTGTCCCAGCTACGATGTAGTTGGACTTGCGAAAAGGACCCTCAGAAATTGTTCATTCCCTAAGGTTCTGAGTGTCTAGTTACAGCTCAATCCCCAAAAGGTAGTTCATATGGACCCCATATCAAAGAGACCTTTGGGTTTGTGCCATCTACTCTCAATCCCACTGTGTGTCACACACTGCATGCTCATTCGCATAGGCAAGACCCATACATGCGACATCGTCAGACATCGCGGGACGATCCTACACGCTCTTCTACACGCTCCAAACCCCTCTCTGGTCAACATCGTGAGCTCCAATGCGACTCAAATCTGTCCCTCTGACAAACATGGACAGTGTGAAAAATGGGACAACGTTCCACAAACTATATTTATATAATAGGCTCTGCATATGTATTTGTCCACTTGCAAAATCTTTCGGATCCTCCGTGCTTTCGAGTTGCATTCTGTGACTCGAGGTGCTAGATCCAAAACAAGCCAGGCAAATGGCAGAAGGAATCTTCCACTTCCATTAGCCCAGTTCCTTCCCGCCATTTACCATGATTCCGACTCCTATCTGCATTCGCACCACCCCTTTTCACCGATCACTTGGCAGAAGGTCTGGGAGCGGGCAAAGGTCTGGCAAAACGAAGCTCGTTGCCGCCTCTGGACCTCGGCTCGTGCTTTACCGTTCTCTACCGTCTCCACCCGCCCAAACATGTCTTGACTGCCATGCCAGTGAGCCGGGTCACAGGTGTATCATGGAGAATCTTCGGTTTTGTGTGTCCCTAGACGCCCAAGTTGGTTGTAGACGTCACTCTCACCATCGGGTGACACCCTGTAATGCTATCCCATCTGTAGATAGATAGTGTAGATTCAGTGTGTATAGATCAGTGATGATCAGTGGATGTGTGTTGGCCATAAGGCCATCAGGACAGCGTTGCTTTCAACTGGCTCATGGCTCATGGAATCCAAGCACGCCACTCGGATCCACTCTGCACTGGTCTGTCAAAAAGGAGTGTCCTCTGAGAGATGCCATTTCGCCAGCTTCTGGGTGAGTCTTTGGGGCATGCCTTGATCAGAAGCTATATCTACTGCTATATCAATATTAAAGAAAAACAAGTAGCGCCCTCATGCGCCCTCCACCCCTGGAGTGATAGAGGCAAATCCTGCAAGCTCCAAACAGTAACTGCCCAACATGACCCAACCACACGATGCCAAGCTGGTTGGCCGATGGCGAGTGGAGAAAAGCCCACCCGACCAACCGGCACCACAATGGATCTGAAAACGTTCTTGAATGCATAGGCAGCAGCACAATGGATCGTGCCCTCCGAATAGTAGGCTTTGTACAATGATGCGTCCAGGATCTTGTCACATTTCCTTCGGTTGATGTTGAGCAAGTAACACGGTAGTCTTCCACGATATTCTGAAAGCGTCGCAAACCCGGGGCATCCTACAAACAACCCTGCAAAAGCAAAAGCATAGATGCTGCATTGTAAAGAAACACGAGAAAAACTAAGAGCTTTCTTCCCATAGAGTGCCAGCTTCTTGATGAATTCACTGAAAGGCTCAGAGGTAGATAGCTTCTCAGTGGCGCTAAAGTAGTGAATCATGTGAATCGTGAAGTAGGCCAAGGTCTCGTGCGTAAAGAGCCCGGTCTGCACCTCTGTCAGAAGTAGGGACCAGTCCGACCCTAAAGGGACTTAATCCAAAGTAGTTCGATGTTGTTCGAATCCTGAGTGCCATCCCATAGGACTTCCTGGACCGTTGAGTGCCTGGGGGTTGAGGGTAGCCGTACCTCGTATCCCGTGACCAAATCAATGTGGTGATAGTCATGAGTCATAGCCCAACAAAACCCTGGGAGTACAACATGACCATGATGGTAGAACCTCTCAGAAAAGCCGCCCACGTCCAATTGTAATATATTAATATTGTCATGTATTATCATTGGTTGCTGCTACAAAGATCTACTGACACGAACCGCTAACCAAAATAAGTGGGTTTCCTCTGTGCAAATCGCTGAAAAAGAGATAGGCCTCAGATGAATGGTCTTAAACTGACTCCTGAGAACCCGCTGAAATTTGGATTGGGGAGCTTCTGATGGGAGTTGTCATTCAAGCCAAGAGCACTTAGACTTGGAACGACATTGTGTCACACCAATGCCAAACCTAAAACATCAGAGCGTCATACGCTGGGCATGTCCCATTACCAGTAACAGTGGATGATGACGATGAAGATGAAGATGAGATGAGGATGAGGATGATGATGAGGATGATGATGATCTTTATTATTAGAATTATTATTACTTAAAGGCCTTTCTCCAAAATAGTGTTAACCCTTCTACCGACTGGTTTACTGGCTACTCCCCTCGTCGTACCGGTGAAGCACCCCAAATCGCCACCGGGCGCCTCGGGCGCCCTTCGCAGCTCCTGGAGCTCGTCCAAGAGTTTTCGCACCGCTTGGCGGCGCCCCAAGGCGTTGAGGTGAAGATAGGCCAAGCCTTGGATGGTGGTCTGAGGCCGTTCGCCTCCACGGTGAAGTGATGGAGTGGTTTGGTCACGATGTATCAAGGGCAGTGGTGCACAAGTGTGGTCGCCAGATCCAAAGTTGCGACCAGCGGAGCCAAACAACTGTGGTCCCTCGGTAGCATATGAAAGATCTGCCTAGGACCAGCCGGAGATACACTGTATTATGATATAGCAAGTTGCAGTAATTGTCTTTTGGTCTCATACATGGCCTATGGTCATGACATGTCATGACCCTTGCACAAATCCTGCCATCCCTTGAGCCGACCAAAACAATGTTAGAATCTATGCAAGGCTTGCCGAGACTCGTGCAAGGCTCGGGAGGTTCCAGGAGCTCAAGGTTTTGCTTTGCACAGCTTTCAGGAAGTCCTGATGCCAAAATGCGCATTACCCCCATAACATTCCACATCAGCCATCCGTCTGATGGGTGGGCCAAAGTAAGGAATGCAATGGACTATTCAACGAAGAGTCATGCATTAGGTGGTGTTCTTAGCAAATGGGCAAGCACAATAGTACATAAAACTCATAGTACAACCTTTCAGGTAGGTTTGAATAAACTAAAAGGCTTAAACACTCTAAAATGGCCAGGGTAGACCCGGCCTGGAGAAGACTCGTGTATATATATATATATATGTGTATTAGCTTTTCTTGCTGGGGAGCATTTGGTATACAGCATGGCCTCTGGTGGCTGGCCCGAGATTAGGGGACAAGAGCTTGGCAAACGAAGACAGCGGCGCCAAGAGCCTGGTCGTCCAAGTCCTGGTGCCAACGGGAAGCTGCACTCTCCAGCTTTGTGGGCAAGGGCTGTCGATCCGGTGCTTGGAAACCTGAGCTGGGCTCAGCAGGCGCTGAAACCCCAACCCCGTACCCGTGGGCATGTGCGGATTCTTGGTGAAACAAAGTTTCTTTTTTGCTGGGGCTTCCGGAGGGTTTGCCCGATGGAGACGAAATGAGTGACATGGCAACAGCAGCTATTGGACAACAGGCCGCAGGACAGAGGCAGTTACCTCATGGGGTGAAAGAAGGAAAAGTTGGTACCAAGCTGTCTGCCCCCTCGGAAGACGTTCATGGCAGGCAACACTGTTCTTGATCATGTAAGAGCTTTCATATTTCTATCTGGCTGATGGCAAGTTGTTGAACACAGGGTTGCTGGAGGATCCGCAGATGTCGTTCCAGGCACAGGTAGCTGTCCAGAATTTAATTTGTTCCACTGAGGGCGGATTGCCAATGTCCATGGACAATCTTGATGGGCCTTCCACTGTGGTCCACTGTGTCCAACCATGTTAGGAGTAAGGTTGTGCCATTTACGCTCAGAATGGCTGTGTGTACAAGCACTTGAGCCAAAATGAGTAGCCCAAAGTGGAGTGGAAATTGCTATCGACATGCAGTGATTTCAGAGTAGAT